AATCGAATCGAATTAAATCGAATAGTGGATCGAATCGATTCGGGACCTTGTGAATCGGAATTGAATCGATTCTAGAAATCAGTGACGATACCCAGCCCTATTCACAAGGATGTTGCCTGTGATAAAAACACTACAGCCCCCCCACCCAGAACCTCGAGAATCTGGGGAGGGGAGGACAGAAAGAATTCCTTTATGCTAAACATAAAAATGACAAACATTTAACAATTCACTCTAACAGCTACAAAATAAACTAAGCAGGCTTGGCAGGCAGAACACACAGACAGGTATGTTAACCATTCCTCGCCGTCAGTCCCCTGACCGTGGTCGGGAGACGCGAGGGGAGATGCTTCCTCCAGGGCCGAAGTTTGTCCTCCTTCGGGGTTAACTCCCTTCACTTTTGTGGAGTAGTGAGGCAGACAGAAATCAGCCGAGGCACCGGAGAGTACTGAAGAGATGAGGCTTTAATAACAGTACTGCACTTCAAAAACACACTGCATAGCCTGTAGCCCGTTAGAACGCTGCTCCCGGTCGCCCTCTCTACCCATGACACACTCTCTCTCCTTTTTTTCCTCTTTCGGTCCCCGCGTTTCCTTCACGTGCATGCTCACACACACATCACATACACTCCTTACTGCACCCAGTCACACACAAGATGGCAATTCCTGCAACACTACCCCCACTCTGGATGCAATTAAACAATAATTCCACTCCAGCATTGTAATGCATAAAACTGGTACACAATCCCCTTTACCATTTGGAGCCCACAGGAGATAAAAGTGTTAGCCATTACCGCATATAAGGTGAGGTATAGTATCAACGAGTGCACTTCAGTGACAAAAAAGGTTGGCTCAAGTAAGGTGTACATACATGTGCAAAATAAAGCATTTCAAGTGCTGTTAAGCAGAAAAGAAATTACACAATTGTAACTATTACATGTCAACCGGGAATAACTAACTTATCCTAGCATCTAGGAAGGCACAAATACAAATAGATAAGTGCATGTAGATAACCCCGTAGGTCCTTCAGATACTTTGCTCACTTTTTTTTTTAAATGTAAACACTGGAACAATGAAAAATATAGCTCTTTTAAACCATTGTAGCTAACAGTGTAGGAGGCTGAAACTATTTAACCCTTTAAGATCTACCATAGAACCAAGTCCGCCAGAGCTTATATTATATTTTTACATGCTGTGGAGCCATTTTTGGGAGCATTTCAAGTTGCTATACATCAATACAACCATTATAGCCCAAACTTTAATAATATGTCTGCATTCGGTGCATAGTAATTACATAAATTGCAAA